CCCCCGGCTCTATGAGACCAGGAAGGGGAGCCGGGAACAGGTACGGGTGTGAGGGAGGGGAACGTGACGGATTAAACCGTCCTGGGCCGGGGCAGGGCTATCAACGGGAAACATCAGATGGCACAGATTTACTTTGATGCCCCCCGGCTGCAAGAGACCACGAAGGGGAGCTGGGTACAGGTACGGACGTGAGGGAGGGGCATCCCGTAATAGTACTGAGAACGTGCTGCAAACGCCGAAGAGAGCAGGATTGCTGAATTATGGGAAGGGGGGGGCAATTAAATCCCTTCTGTGGCCCTGAGCATTTCATAGAGGCCAGCCTTCGACGAGCAGACGCGCTGGGGGATACTTTCTAAAAGAAAGTGGTGGTCAGCAGTCTGGCCAGATGATGTACGAGCCGCTCGGCACTCAGGTCCCTGGGGGCTGTCCCTGGAGTGCCAGGCTGTACACCACCTCGCTAACCAGTAACCACCTGAACACAGGGGCAACGTTTTCATTAAGCTATACTGAGGTGTGCGTATCACGCCATCCCAGTACATGATAATCAATAAAGCACCTTTGTATACAAAGGTCATAATAGTCCTCATATTTTCAAACCTGTGAGTGACACATGTCCAGCAGCACAGGCTAACAGGGCAGTCATGTTCCAGAGATGGAGGAAGTGAGTGAATGGGGATCATGGGAGTTGTAGTTCGATCTGTCACGTGGCGGCTGGGGTTCACGGTGCTTTATTCTCATCCCGTTCGAAAGCCTCATGCCCCATTTTGCTGGGGGTGGGGCTACTCAGGTGGCAACTACTGCCACAAGAATCCGTAAAAGGCGGTGATGATCGGGATAGCTTCCTGGCACGTTAAAGTAAAAGCACGGCGTGAATTTAGGAGTGGGATGTGACAAACGAGGATGTTTTCTGTCTGTCACTGGCATTTACCCCCCCCCAACAAACTGAGAGCTTGTAAGCTGTGGATACAAAAAGGGTCCAGTTCATGCAGATATGAGCGGGTGCTTTGCAGGGGAGTGGAGCTCTGACAGAGGACGCAGGTCCACAGATTTACAGGCAACGGCACACGTCGGTGTCTCTAAATCGATGTCGCTTATGATTTACGCGTCTCCTTGCCACCAGGCGTCAATTACAGCGGCCTGGTTTGGAGACAGATGTTGATAAGGGGCGTGTGAATCATTGCACGGCAAAAACGGGAAAAAGATGAGATACCCCCCCCCCCCTACTTTCTATCCACTTTCGCCGCCATTCCTTTTCCATGGGAGAGAGACGTCGCCTTTCTCCAAGGTGACTTCTCGCATATTTTCTCTCCCCGTTTATATCCGATCTGAGATTTAGTGTTTCCTTTCCAGCTGGATCATCATATTTAATTTGCCTGCTGGGAGGAACGCAGCGAGGGAGGGAACAGACGCGCCCGGGGGAGAATTCCTGCAGGAAATCAGGATGTCTTTTCCTGTCCGCAGCCACCTCCGGTCACTCAGATGCAGGGAGAGGCTAGAGAAAATTCTGTGCAGGGATGATTCTAGGATTTCTTAAGGTGCGGGGCATAAGAGGGGCCATAATTCATACAGAAGGGCCAATCTTTCTTTAGGCAATGATATGTTTTCAATCGCCAATTGACAGACAGGGGGCGCTCTGAGGGCCAATCAGCTTTCAGCTGAGGCCCTGAAGCCCCACCCTGATGCCGTGTTACTGTTACTGAATCATGACGTCATCATATACTGTGGCGTTTCAGAGCATATGTATGACAGGTATCCTGTACAGCAGCATAAATAAAGCAGGCAGCTGGCTCTCGCTGCTGAAATCTCAGGGGGGATGCCTGTTGTACCCTAGGAGGGCAGGATGCTTGGAGAAATCGAAACAAATAACGTAATATGCCTCAGAGAAACGACAGCGGGAAAAAAAAAAATACTCTGTATCATCAAGTGAGGTTAGCATGAGCGCCTCCCCGGGAAGGTAAACAGTGTGAGAGGAGCCGTGAGAAGGGAGAAAGGCGAGCAGGGAAATAAATGAAGTGGAAAGCTTTCAGGAGAGTGGAGTGGAGGCGGTGGATTAAGAAATGAGGAAAATGCAGGTTCCCTAATTGAAAAACGCCTCGATGGTCGTTTCCCTGCTCTCTGTGTTTATTAAATGACAATGAAGAAGCAGCCATTTGCACACGGGACCGGACAGGGGCAGTGGAGAGCCACAAGGGGGCGGGGCCCAAACACTCATATAAAGATAAACAAGTGACCCCGTCAGCCTGTCCAATTTCCCTCCCCATGGCCCCCACCGTCATGTCTTCCTGTCCGTGGGGTATAATTAGACCGGGAGAAACGTGTCTAACTTAATTTATCCAGCCGCACGCCGTTTTGTCCACCACGCACCCGAGCAGCCGCTCCTTCCGGAACCTTCTGCGCTGCCGGCACTTCCGCGCTTAGGGCACCTCTCTCTTCCCTCATGTTTATCCTGCCACCAAAACGGTTTCTGCACAAAAGTTTGCCATCTTCAGCGTCGGGGGACCGGACGAGAACTTGAAAGGATTTAAAACACACACAAGCGCACAGATACTAGAGCGCACACACACACACTCACGTGCGCACGAGCATAAACACACACGCACACAAACAGTGAGGCTCTTTAAGCATGTTATTTTTTTTTTAGCAGTGTCCTTGAGAAACACACAGCGCTTCGTTCCACTTCAAACTCAATACGATAAACAGCTTTTTTTTTTTTGCGATGCTCCGGTAACCTTCCAGCATCAGACCAAGTTCAATTTATTCTGTGTTTTTCCTTGTGACAATGAAGCACTCTGCGTTTTCTTTTTTTTTTTCTCTTTTCAGGCCGATGCACATATAGAGCCTTCATTGAGAGAATACACACTCTCTCCGGGTCAGGTGGGTTGCAAACATGATTGGTGCTAGAAAGGAAGCATTTTAGGGGTGATACTTGAAAGGGGCAGGGTTATACGGTTAGAAAGGGAAGCCCCCCTCTCAGGCGCAGAGCGCAGACAGGAGGGCTAAGCGATAATGTGATAATACCATCGTATGTAAACTGCACCGATGCTCCAGCAGCCTGTCAGTTCCAACACTGCTTCAGCGCAGCTCGGAAAATGGGGGGGGGGGAAGAAAGCCACTTTGTCTTCAATTTCTGAAACACTTCGCTGCTGCATCCAATTTGGCACAAACGGATGGCAGGACCCACGGCGGCTTAACGCGCTCGGGACGGGATCGCGGCAGTCTGCTGAGCCACAGCTAATGGCTACGATGGCTGTCAGGCGCCTCCCGCCGTCTCTGGGAGAGCGTCTGCGGCACTGGGGCCGTCCTCTGATGTCAAAGAGCCACCGAGTCACTTACAGGGATACAAATCGATACGCTGATCCGATAAAGTGCATGTTTCGATATAATGTTTAATAAAAATGACACCCCTCAATATATCAGTCATGGTGTTCAGCGCTGATGGGTACCACAACTCCCAGAATGCACTACATTAATGGCACTGCTGTGGAAGGTTTTCTATTGGTTGGTTGATAATGTGTTAGAAGCCACCTCAGCACTCAGTGGAAGGTGACGGGTAGGGAGGACAGCAGGTGGGCGGCTGGTCGGTACAGTGGAGTATAGCAGGACTAATTTGGGCCCGGTGTTCCTGTCGAAAGAGTAAGACAGAGCCATCCCCGGGACAGCGAGGAGCATCCCTCCCAGAGCGGGGGAGCCTTTCAGACTCTCCACCGGGGCAGCGACCAGGCTGAGGGGCATCTTTGGGAGACGGACGCCCGGCTCCGATTACTAGATCCCAGCCTCAACGTCCCATCAAGCTCTAGAAGTTTCCAGAGCAAACAGTCCACCCTGGCCACCGGCTTCCCGGGGCTGTCACTGTTTGCCGGGATAAAAAAAAAGTCGTTAAAGCAGTAAACAAAGCTGTTGATGTGGTTAGAGGCGGGTGAGGAGCGAGGGAAGCAGACTGGACTGCAGCTGCATTATGCACCGTCGTGCGCTAATGGCTCACTTGGAGGCTCGGCTCTGCAGATAAACAAAACGCAAAAGTGATCAGGCAATGAGCAAAGACAATGTTTATCCTTGGAGGTGCTGGTCAGCACCGGTAACTGCAGTCGTTCGAAAATAGATCTCCATCCACTCGGATAATTATGAGGATAATCGCTCGCCATTCGCCTGCAGCTCAGGGCTCCAGCGTCATACGTGCTTGATAACTTCCCTGCCCTCCCAACAATCCCCCCCCGCCGACCACGTTCCCATTACTGGCTCATGCGGGGGACGCCGGCCCGTTACTCTCAGCATAGCGGCCGCAATTATGTAGCTGCAGCACCATCCTGGTGCGTCTCTCTGGGACTCGCCGGAGGATAGAGCTGAGATGACCCAGCATCAACAGCACACTGCCAAGGCCTTAAATGCTTTGATTTGTGGATTGTTTAAAGAAAAGGGAAAAAAAAAAAAACACTACCTTGGAGAAAGACAGTTAAAGACCTAATCTTAAGAAAAATATTTGCATATAAACTGTTAAACTTCTGAATGACCTTAGATGATCTTTTCATTATTTTTCTGGCACTTGACGTGGCCATACAGCTTTTCAACATGCCAACTATACATGTATATTCTCAATCATAAAGTGCTGTGATTACAAACATTGTAATATGACTGCAGACACCAGACTGATGCGAGTTTCTCCTTGACTATCGTATACAGAGAGCCACCCCTGGGGCAACAGAACGGCACTTCTACCATCCTGCCAGCACAAAACTCGAACCCTTCAGATGACTGTTTGAGAGGAGATCACGCTACGCATTGGTGGTAGCTACTGGTCAAACGTGGCCAAAAGCTTACGTGTCCCCTGTGAACAATTACCGGCGCCGGATGACCAACCTGGCACTGAGAGCACTGGGACAGGAGTAGGAAAGCATTCATCAAACTAATCACATGAGCTTTCGACCGAGGATATACAGGAAGGCCGCATCCATCGATCCACCCAACCATCCATTCAGTCAGCCCCACTCCCCCCCATGACTCACTGGCACACTTGGTCCTGGCTCTGAGCGGGGGGCCTGGAGCCCCAGTCCCCCCCTCCAGGGGCCGGGTCAGCAGGACGCTGATCTCGTACTCCGTGTCAGGGTCCAGGTGGCTGATCTTGTGGGTAGGCTGGTCTACAGGCTGCATGTCATACATGCTGCCTGAAATGGTGCGGTACTCCACCTCCCTGTCGATGATGGGCCCGTCGCCGTTGATGGAATTGGCGTTGAGCTGAATCCACAGGTAGGTGGCGCCCACGGCTGTGAGCTGGGGCGGTGCGATGGGCACCGGGGGCTCTGCAGGGCAAAACGAACCGCGAGGGTGTGAGGATTCGACTCTGCAGAGAAACTTAATTACATGGCAAACAAATTCAAACGTGAAGAGCTAATTAATTTCGCCAAGTCTTTTGTTTACTACGAAAAAAGGAAACGAACACTACTTACAGGACATAACTGATAAACAAAGCAATTAATATATTCTGATAGCGCCGTGAACTTACTGAACCGAAATATGCTCATCTGAGAGCGTACAAACTGCATAAAAATGATCCGGCTTAATGTAACATTCACTCTGACAGCCTGTAATGTTAAATCCTACACGCTGTATTTAAACAACTGTGTGATTAGCTCTGCACATAGCTATGGGGACAAGGCTGTTTGAAGCGCGAGGTCACGTTATGGAAGAGATGTTAGAGGTGACTAGCTAAACCAATTAATTTCCTGACCTCCATCAGTTTGAAATGCCGCTGAATTCATTACTTCCCACCCTAAGGTCTTGCAGCGTTTCTCTCGTGACCCATTTACTGAAAACTGCTACGCTGAGCTCTTTGTGTCTCTACAAAACTGTTTGATAATGACCCATTAAAGCTGAAAATCAATTAGGCGAATTCATACACATTAAACACACTCTCTCTGTTATGTAAATGATCCCATACCCCCTTGTCGAGCATGTAAATGATCTTTTGTTACTGTTCGCCGTTTTGTTTTGGATTTTTTCCCCCCACCCCTGGCAAACTTTCTTCCAGCTTTTGGAGCTGTTGAGGTCTCCTGTTCCATTGGTCAGACAGAGTTCTCTCTCTACTGCGGTCACCCAGCCCCCAAACGTCCTCGTCCCCACAACCGGCTGCCCGTCACTGGCAATGGAACCTCCATACTGTCCGGCTCTGGGTCGTCGGTAGAATCCCCGGGTGCTTTTTAATTAGCAGCGGATTAAGACAGCCCTTTGATTACATACCTGAGTAATTAAATCAGGGGAGTGAGACCTACAGTGATGGATAAAGAAAAAAAAACATGCAGAAAAATCCAGAAAAATATATTCTGGTCCCATATATAGGAAACTGCATGAATGCAAAGAGGAACCATCAAAAATGACAGCAGCACCAGTATTACCGCATTCAGGGAGGTAACAGGCCATTCACGTCGGCCCCTGGTTCAGCGGCCGTGAATCGATTCCCCACTCGTGTGTTTCTTAAATCGCCAAGCGTCTCGCCGAAATCCTATCGCCAAGGAATTTAATTTCTCCCCATTACCAGATCACATGAATCACAGACCTTAATCTTTTTTGCCATCATACACAAATTGCACATCAAACTCTGTTAGTCTCCCTGCTGAAGGTAGGCACATTTAGCTAAAAGCATAGATTACAGAATAATGCTATTAGCTGTTTGAATGTTTACAATTAGCCACCCCCCCACAGAAGCAAAATCATGGCGCCCCGCCTTCCTGGGTGAAGGTCAGGGAGCTGCAGATGGCCATCCCCGCCTGACCCCACCTAGCAGATCCCTAAATTCAGATTAGTCCTGCCCCCCGAGCCTTAAATCAAGCATCACCTCTCCTGAACTAGCTAATCTGGTGCCCTTCTCAGACACGCCTGCTTAAACAACCCTTTGGGGTGGGAGGGGCAGCGTCCAGAAATCTGGGCAGCGCGCCCACATACCAAGCATCCCCCCAGAGCAGCCGCTCCACGGCCAATCCCGCCCCCGCCGCCCCCTCAGCCCTTGCCAGACACGGTGAGAAGACCAAGACGGGTATCAGACACCTGAGACAAAACAGGAACAAAGGAATCTGCTGTTACGGTAATTGCTCAGTTCGATGCGAGTCGCCGGATTAGGCTGAGGTAAAGGCGCATGACGGCCGGCGATGTGTCGGGGGGGGGGGGGGTGAAGTGCTTTATCGGAGAGAGGGATGAGTCCGTGCAGAGTCACGCCCCCTCACTCTGCCACCATGTGCTTCAGAGAGACACAGTGGACTATTTGAGGACAGGCAGGCGATGGCTCCATTTTGGAGCGTTACTGTGGGTCGAAACACTGCATACCGACCAAAGTGCTCCTTGTGCCTTTTGGCCAAAGGCCTCCACATGAATTTGCTTTTTAGAAATTCTTTTCAGATTTTACCTGCCAAAGTAAGAGAATTCAAGCAAACTAACAGGAGCGCTCGAGGTCTTAGGAATCAGGGCAAATTAATAACTCTAAAGATACACAAAAGCCATTTGTAATTACATTGCTGGAACGCCTCCAGAACCCTTAAAAGAAACACCATCTCTGAGGATTTAGCAAACTTAACAAGCAATTCAAGACAAATGATAATAGTGCAGAAACCTTGTCTGGGTTTCTCTTTTTTGTTAGTAAACAAAAGATAAATTCAAGCTGAGAGTGGCTTTGCGGGAATGCTGGAGGCCTGTAATTGTGTGCCGGTCACTGGCAGTGGCAGACATCTCTGTGGCGAATTCCTTTTTGGGGAGGGGTTGGGACAGGGGGGTGTATGGGTGTGTCACATGTCCCTCTCTTGGCGTATATATTTAAATTCGCAGTTATGCGGGACAGAGCGGGCGTGCGAAGCCATCCGGGTTGGCACAGCTGCGGACAGAGCCGGGCTGGGGTCAGCCACATGGTGCTGACATAGCAGGAGGTCACAGGAGGGCAGCTGTTCTCCTTGCAGCACCTGCCGGTTGTGCCCCCCCCCCCCCCCCAATCCAAGCCAGGACATCACATCAGACAGAGGAGTGCACACTTCCCCGAGGTCTGTTACGGCAGTCGTCAGGTGACCGGGACGGCAACGTGGCTGGGCATTGAACTCGCAATTGTCACACGTCAAGCCGGTTTAACTGCATGAGAATTTTTCAAAAAGAATCGCCACGTGGATTTCGAGAGGAGCGTCGACGTGTCCAGGGGTAACCGACGAAGGTTGTACTTCCTCTGCCCTGTTAATAAACGCCACTTGACAGAACAAACAGCGGGCATCTCGAACTGGCTCTGTGCGCATCGAGTGACATTAAAAGGATTAACGTGTGAGGGATGGGATGTGAGCCAGCTGGTCCCCAAAATGTAGCCGGAATCAGACCAGGAGGCGACCAGAGTCACGGCGATGCTCCTTGTAAACAAGCCCTGAGAGTTCCACTCCTCGGAAGGCTAGAGGTCACCTTCAGGGCCCTTGGGAATTGGCTGTGGCTCCGCCCACCTTCTGCAGCGATGCTGACATTGGCGCCACGGAGATGCGGAGCCCCACTAACAAACCATCAGCCGGGACGAGTAATTAGACGCGAGAAAAAGTACCCCAAAGCCCGAGACGGCCAGAAAGATTAAAAACACTCCCGCGAACATTTTTCATTAAAGGGAAGGAAAAAAGGGGGTGGGGGGGGGGGGCTGGAATGAAAAAAAAAAAAAAAAAATCAAGAAGCCCCCAATTTAGCTGAATGTGGGGAATTAGGTGTCGCTGCAATTCATTCCAATTACAGCGTCTCGGAACAGCGAGGCCCGCGATTGCAATTTAAGTCATGAAATATAATCTGACACGGAAACGGAGGACATCAGCTGTCCCGCGATGATTTATCGGACGTGCTTAATCACACGGTGTAAACGTCACCCGTGGTAACCGCTGTGACGCGGCCTGTTGCTGGGAGGTGAGCGACGAACACGGGAGCGGTTACTGCGGCCGGCCGAATGGAGGGACGGCACCCGTGCGCGAGAGTGTGAGACGGCCTGCTGTCTGCCCAGACGGGATTAAACCTATCAATCACGCCGGGGCCGAGAGACAAAACTGCGGCCGGTAAATTCGATTCATAGCGCTGTGGGAAAATGGAGGCCCAGAAATATGGCCGGCCATTACTGCAGTCTGTGGGCTATTTGAAAATGAAGCCCTACAAGATTTAGGCAGAATATCCATCATAAATTCTTATAAAATGGCTGTAGGATCTGGCTTCCACTATCCGCGGAGGTTAAATGATACCAGCCGCATAACTTTCTGCACTCTTAACTTCTTTAGGTCGAGTTCTTTTTCGGTGAAGAGGCATGCACAACGAAGGGGAGGGGCCTCGGCCAAGGTAGGCCCAGGGGAGGGCATCATGGTGGCCTAGTTGAAATGACTTTATCCTGGGCCTGGGAATTATGCGGCGCAAACTGTCAGTGCGCTGTAACTGGACACCGCGACTCCGCGGCCCGAGCGAGGCCTGTACTCGCGCTTGACGGTCAGTGCGCTGTAACTGGACACCGTGACTCCACGGCCCGAGCGAGGCCTGTACTCGCGCTTGACGGTCAGTGCGCTGTAACTGGACACCGCGACTCCGCGGCCCGAGCGAGGCCTGTACTCACGCTTGACGGTCAGTTCGCTGTAACTGGACACCCCGACTCCGCGGCCCGAGTGCACAGCACAACGGTAGCGGCCCGAGTCGCCCTTGGTGGTATTCTCCACGTCAAACATCACGATGAATTTGCGGTTGTTCCAGGGCTTCGTCGACTTCATTGGCGCCTCCCGACCGCCGATGCCCTGTACACGGGAGACAAACAGGATTCAGTTCTGGCCGAGGCGATTAAGGAGCTCTCCAGCAGAGGCCCGGGCGAAGATGTCCGGGGGGTCTGTCAGCTTCAAATGTCATTGTGTTTACGGTTGCCGGGAGAAATGCGGGTCCGCTTTATCACCGGGGCAACGCACAGAGGTCAGTGACGACTCGAAAAGAGGGAAATAAATCAATAAGCGCACAGAAGAAAACCCTCAACCACCTCCCCCCCAGATCAATATTTATCTTTATTTTACCATGTAAATAACTGAAGCGGAATCTCATTTCAAGACCCGGCTCCGGGACGTATGTGGGATGCTGTGATCAACGTAATCATGGGTTACATGCATGTTTTTGCGTGTTAGTCTGAGCACACAGCCAGTCCCTGCAATAGAGAGCTGATCCATTCTTCTCCAGTGTACAAATGCTCACACAAAGAGCACACGTGCACTAACACACACACACACACACACACACACACATACACACACACACACACACACACACACACACACGCGCAAACACGCAAACACACACACAAACACACTTGCACACACAGACACGCACACACAAACACACTTGCACACACATAGACACGCACACACAAACACAGCCGTCTCCCAGCACCATAAGCAGATGGGGAACATTTATCCGTTAGAAACCATCCTGGATTACAGTTACCAGGGGACCCCCCCCCTTAATGTTGGGGTTTTTATCTTCGGTGTTAATGAGGACGTGTTTGTTAACGTGACTGAGCATCTCAGACAGGATGGGGCTGCGTGACCCCGCCCCCCATCTTGGCGTCAGACGCTCATTGAGCCTCACAGACAGCCTGTCTCGAGGAACAGGGTCTCTGTGAGGCTGGGGGAGGCTTCTACCACAGGGTGTGTGTTGGGGGGGGGGAGGGGTGGAGATGTCAAATAAGGCAGTTATGGGTTATGGGAGATGCGATTTCACTGTTAAGAAAAGCTGAATAATGCAGTACCATCTACGGGCACAGGAGCCTCGTTACGCAGCCAGGGGGCGAGAGCGAGAGGTTCACCTGCAGCCAGAGCCGGTAGCTGTCCTGATGGCGCCCGATGACGGTGCACTGGAAGGTGGCGCTCTGGCCCGCATTGACCTCCACACCCTTCATGTTCAGGAAATGAGGCGTGTTCACTGGGAAAAAGTAGAGCGAGAAGATGGTTACTATTCATCAGTGCACCGGTGGGCGAGAGGATCGAACACGTCCGGCTCAAGGAGTAATGTTACCCAGAATGCAATGTGACACTCGGCTTAGTATTCCAGGCGAAAGACATTCTCCGGCCTCTTTAATTTGGGAATGTAGCCCCGCGTCCTTTTCCAACGCTCTCCTTCCCTGGGGGGAATTAACACCCCCCCATCTCGTCAAGGGCACGGACATGCTCTTCAGCTGCCTGCCCCCCCCCCCCACACTGATCGGACTCCCTTGCACTCCCAAACCCCATCTTGACAAAGCATTTCCTGCTTTTTGGGGTCCGTGTTTCAGTTTCCTGCAGACTCCGCCCTGTGAATGTCGCGCGACCTCCACCACGTCCCGGGGTCTCACGGCACGAACAGCACTTCCCCTCAGCGTCAACAGGCGATAAATAAAAGGGAAGCCAACAAGCCAGAGCAAATATTAATTAAGCAACAAATTAATATGTTCAGTTAATCCATTAGTTACATACACCCACGCATGCAGGGCAAATGATATTGTATTGTGAACAGATCACAGAAATCTAATTAAGGTATGGGGGGGCGGTGTATGGCTCAGTGGGATAGTACGCTCCTGTATGTGACCGGAAGGTCGCTGGTTCAAATCCCACAGTTAGTACATCAATTTCACTGCTTGGGCCCTGAGCACAGCCCATAACGCCCAACTGCTCTGGCCTCCATCAGACCCTGCATTCGCAAATCGTACGTCGCTTTGGATGTAAGGCTCTGCTAAATAAACTAAAATGTATTAAGGCCACAGCAGATGACTGCTGCATTATTGGAATCAAACATATATGATCTATTCTGCCTCAGGGCAGCATTAGTAACAGGGATATGGAGGTAAATGGCGAAAGACATTTAATAGAGCGGGACAACATGGTGGCCTTACACCCCCAGGGCTGGGGGGTGGCATGGTCAGATGGCAGCTCACAGTCCTAAGACACGCAGCTACATGAGTTTCTGGTTCTAATCTATTCATGGCATATGGTTGTGTGTATAAAGGTGCGCATGTGTGTCTGGGATGGATGGACGGATGGATAGTTAACATAGCATGATGACCCTCCATCATTAATCCAGCACATCACTACTTACAGTATATTCCTTGCCCATCCAGTGGGGGGTGATGAAAATTCTGCTTGTTGGAAGTTCCTCTGGCTTCAGAGCCAAACATGTATGCCCCCCCCCCAGCCAAACAGCTCCCTGGCTAATGGGAGGACCAGGCAGCGTGCGGTTGTGGGTCAGCGTGCGGTTGTGGGTCAGCGTGCGGTTGTGGGTCAGCGTGCGGTTGTGGGTCAGCGCACGCCAGGCAGAACGCGGGGCTCTCGCTACCGTACGCTAATGAAGACGCACGGCCCGGCTTTTAATTACCCTCCGTGGGCCGCAGACAAAGTGGCCCATGCTGACCTTGATTAGATGCCCAGGATGGCACCTCCATCCCAGGCCGCACAGTGTGCTAGGCGAGCCCTGGAGATCCTTAATTGTTTTCTATTATCAAAGAAAGGGAAGGATCCTGCGCTCCTGGTGCAGCATGGAGAGACAGCAAAGCACATGCAGGATTTACTTTGGCTCAAGCCCTTCAGTGCACTTTATTACCGGCCTGCCCTCTCATCCCCACACAAATTTCTTATTTTATTTTTATTTCTATTCACCAAGAAGATAGATGGATTTATTTAATTTTTTACAATCTATGTCACAGAATAATAATGATAATTGATACTCTATTGAGCCCCATGGGGAAATTCTCTTTACGCCTCCCCCAACTTACTCTTTGTGGAGTAAGCTGTCTGTAAAGGGCAGCCACCTGTAGCGGCGCCCAGGGAGCTGGGGGTTAAGAGCCTTGCTCAAGGACCCGCAGACGTGCCGAGGCTGGGTTCGAACTGGCGACCTTCTGATTACAGACACACAGGCTAAGCCCAGTGAGCCACATGCCGTGCCACAATTTATCCATTATTCAGTATAAATTAGTTTTTTAAATCAGCAAAAAAGGTGACTTTTGAGGAACCAAGCTGGTATCTTTAGTATCTATGGACTCAACAGCACCATCCTACAGAGAGGGAGGAGCAAGGTCACATACCATCACAACCCC